TCGTAAATATAGCTCAACATGCAGACTTCTTATACGTTCAGGTATTTCACATCCAATTTTTTATGGAAATATTCTTTATAAATCACAAAAATGTCAGTATTCACCTCTGAAGCTAACAAAACCTTTAAATAGACTTATTAAGAAGGGATATAGTTACGATACTGTTGTCAGGTCATTAAAGATTGCATATTTTGGCGTTAATATTGATTCACTTATAGGGTCTTTGCATCGGCACTAAACACATTTATTTAAAAACCAGTTGTTGGCATGACACGGGTTATGTTCTTCTCATATATGTTATGATACTAAACCCCTAACGGGAAGGATTGTGCCTGATATTCATATGATGAAGACATAATCTTTCAATCAGTTTAATTGAAGTCTGGAGCTGGCATGTCAGTTAACTGCTAGAAGTCTGTTGTTATTTATATATTATTGTCATTTTGTTTATTTTCTTTGGTTACATCTTCTGACATCAGACTCGGACTTCTCTTGAACTGAATTTTAATGTGCGTATTGTTATGCGTTTACTTTTCTACATTGGCTAGAGGTATAGGAGGAGGGTTGAGATCTCATAAACATGTTTAACCCCGCCGCATTTTTGCGCCTGTCCCAAGTCAGGAGCCTCTAGCCTTTGTCAGTCTTGTATTATTTTTAATTTTAGTTTCTTGTGTACAATTTGGAGTTTAGTGTGGCGTTCATTATCACTGAACTAGTATATATATTTGTTTAGGGGCCAGCTGAAGGACGCCTTCGGGTGCGGGAATTTCTCGCTGCATTGAAGACCTGTTGGTGACCTTCTGATGTTGTCTGTTCTATGGTCGGGTTGTTGTCTCTTTGACACATTCCCCATTTCCATTCTCAATTTTATTTCTTTGGACTTTGAACATTTTGTGAAAATAACAGTAATACCGAATTTTTTCTGAATGCCTTCACATATTGAGCAGATTTTTAGTATGTGCGTCTACTATGATGAGTTAGAGATCGTGTTTACGTTATGTGTGCCGAAATTACGGGCTTCGGACTATGGAAATTTCGTGAAAATAACAGTTATATAGGCTTTCATTCCTAAATTTACAAGGGGTAGGGGGCATTCGTCTCGTTCCGACACATCTATACAGGCAAAATTTGCTAACGTGAAATTAACATGTATCAAACATGAAATTCACGTGAAAATTTTCACATGCGATTCACCTCAAACGAGCTTATACATGATACTCACGTGAAAATTTTCATGTGAATTTCACGTGAATTGAGATTCATCTGAATCTCGCGTGAAATTTTTCATGATTTTGATTAAATTTAAAAAGTTAGATGTTATTTGAATTACGTTATTTTAAAAATTATGGTGAATACAATCATGACAATAAACATAACTTGACAAATAAAACTAACCACTATCGCTTACTAATAATCCTGACTATATGTATTACATGAACTGGTTGCCATTAGAAATGAAAATATAAACATTCCAACTAACAAAAGCATATGCTTACACATGCAACCAAATATAAAGCACTAGATGCTAATACCAATATGAGGCTCTTATCTATAGAATTACACAAACATTGTCAAGATTACAAACCACAACGTAATACATTAAAAGATATAAGAAGCCAGCTGACAACATGTTCTAGAAAATTATTTGCAATTAATATTTCATTCCAAATCCATTTTCACAAAACATCTTACAGTATTACTACATCTGGAGATTAGTAATAACAACACTTAACCTGTACCGTCAAAACTAATTGCTTATTATAAGACAAAAACCAGATAAGATATTCATCACTTCTATACATATAAGATGTAATATTCTCATATTTGAACGGCCTACTGTAGTAGTCCATTTTGTCAAGCAGTAATCCTCAAAAGTAAGTAATACGTTTTTCTTATCAAGTTGAGTATAACATCACAAACTATTACATAACTGTCAAGACACAGTATGCATTTTAAAACTACTTGCATTGTCATAAACAGTAAACAATCATATTCCTCAAAACAAAGGAAAAGTGTTTGTATTGCTAATCTAGCTATTATATATATATAAACTCACATATGATATAATATTATAAGAATTTTGAAGAGTCGAAAAAGGATGAACGGATCGTATAAACCCGAAGGCAAATATAATACAAGCCCAAACGAAAAAATATAAATAAGTCTGAATTGATAACAACGTTCAAACCTATGATTGCGTTAGATAAAAACCGCAATTTTTATACGTGTGCATGCAAAACAAATTTCTTGGTAGTGGGGTTAAAATACAGCACAAACAACATTTTCCAAAAGACCAAAAAAGTGAAAAAGTATATTTTAACAAAACACATTTGACTAGCAGGTCGAACAACGGATGTTCTTAGACCCTGCTGACTGCCATGACGATTGCCAAATAAACGGACCACAAGATGTAACACAATGGATCTTAATTAAATTAATTTAATACCAAACAGAAAACAATAAACTTGCGGAAAAGATGGTATACCGCAAACATGAGGTGCAAAAATGTGTACACCATATCCGGATTTCGACAATTAATGTCTCTTCAGTGATGTTTGGAATCGAAACGGTATTTGGAAAGGCCATATAATTTACCTCAATTTGGGATTGACTCTTGAATTTTGAAGAGTCGAAATAGGATGAACGGATCATATAAACCCGAAGGCAAATATAATACAAGCCCAAACGAAAAAATATAAACAAGTCTAAATTGAAAACAACGTTCAAACTTATGATTGCCTTGGATAAAAACCGCAATTTTTATACGTGTGCATGCAAAACAAATTTCTTTGTAGAGGGGTCTAAATACAGCACAAACATATATATGTATATATCATATCATATGTGACTATAAAGCCTCCTTCCATCATAACCCTGATCCACCAATACTACAACTAAAAACAGAAACCAGGAGAAAAAAAAACCACTATATATTCATATTGCTTGGAGTGCAAGATTCCAATAAAAAAACCTATACCCACAAACCACCTATCTCAATATAATCAGCTAAAATACGGCAAGTTTTTTTAGAAAAGCTATTACTTGTATTGCCAATAGTTAACAAGTTCCGGGTCGAATCCGATACCGATACCAATAGTTACCTATTACCTAATCCGTACATTCCGCATGTGTCAGGAGCACTATTGGGATTTGCTATATACACGGGTCATAATTACACATAAACTTCGTCATTATACAGGGTTGACACTACTTTTTCAATCATTGCCACATTGTTTCCGGTTGTATTATTTTAATCAACACGACTTTATAAGATGACAATACGAATACTTAAAAATCCAGACTTAAAATAAGGCGTAGGTACAATAATAAGTTTCAGGTCGACGGGTTCAAACAGAAATATATTGAAAGCAGAGAAAACCGTGCATCTAATAATCAGCATGACTTTATCAGATGACAATACCAATACTAAAAATCCAGGCTAAAAATAAGGTTTATACACAATAAGATACTTTAATTCAGTCACGGACCCCCGAAACATGTGTGTTCTAGTATGTATGAATCGAAACTATAATTTCCGTTTCAATTTGAACACAATGTAGTTTGAAAAGATTGATCAAGGTACCATTTGTTTAGGAGGAAAAAGACTCTTCTTTTTATAACATGTACATACATGGCACATTTTGGTGCTGACAAGTAGTTCTTTGATAATCTCTATTTAATTTATTCACAATCTTTTTACAATGTTTCAGACAAGATTTAGGGCTAGGAATATTGTTTAGCCGCCTGTCTACTGAGTATTGTTGAAGACCATATGTCGACGTACTCATAATTGACCTAAGAACATTTCATTAATTTTCAAATTTTGCTTTTGTAAGAGAAACAAATACAGAGGAAAGTGCCAGTGGTGATCGATATAATTTTTATTTTGATCAATGATTTCTGATAAATGACAAAATCAACACACAAAGGTAACATTAATTGTACATGTAAACAAAGACATACACTTGAACACCAAACATAAACGTATCAGTGAAAAATTTCGGGGTTCACCGTTCTGTCTTTGGTCTCGTTTCCAACCATCTTTTGATTTTCGGAACAGCTTTGATTCTTTCGTGATGTTTGTTGAATTCCTCTGGAAAAGTCAGTTTTTCGTGTTTCCAAACGGCTAAAACCTCTTGTGTGAAGTCAAATACGGCTAGATCTGCCCATGTTAACTAAAAAAAAACAACACCCGATATACATTGAACTTAATTCAAATGTAGACTGCTTATAACATAAACTATAAAAAAAATATATAGGCTGTCAGGTGAATATATGACACTATTTTCATTTTCGCATTCTTTTTCCGTTTGTGAAATATAAGCGTCTTTTTTGACAAACATATTTTAAATATTTTGTCGGATTTCACAAAACAAAAAATACACATGTTTTCATTAACGTCAAATATGCAATTACGAGAAGTATAGCTTTGATATTCAAATCCATATTTTCAATTCATTCTTCATTTTTTTCTCATCTAGAATATGCATGAAATATTGGCGGCTGGATATTAAGCGAACAAAAAGCAATCAATCATTCAATATCATATCAACTAGTAATACTGTAGTGATATTGACAAATGGAGTAAATAAAGGCAACACTAGTATACCGCTTTTCAATAGTTATAAGTCGATTAAGCGAAAACAAAATAAATCCGAGTAACAAACATAAAAATAAGAAGATGTGGTATGATTGATAATGAGACAACTCCCCACAAGAGACCAAAATGACATAGAAATTAACAACTATAGGTCACCGTATGGCCTTCAACAATGAGCAAAGCCAAAACCGCATAGTCAGCTATAAAAGGCCCCGAAATGACAAATGTAAAACAATTCAAACGAGAAAACTAACGGCCTAATTTATGTACATAATAATGAACGAAAAACAAATATGTTTCACAGCAACAAACAACTTTACTTTATGTTTATTTTCATGTTCGTTTTGGTGTGAGTAAAGTTAATAAAAATATTTGAAGAACAAAATTAATTGTTACTTACATCATTTCCAACAAGATAATCTCCTCCATTATCTTTTAACGTCTTCTCGATAAATAACATAAATTTGTGCAATATCTCCTCAGCTAGATGTTTGCTAATGTCTGCCTGAAATATTTTCAACATTCCTTCAGTTCATAAAATATGTTAAAAATGGTAAACACAGACCTTAATCACATATATGTAATTGATTTTGTTTTTGAAAAATTAAAACATTAACTAAATATCTATAGCTATATATGTACAGTTATGAGAACGAATGATCCTACATCCTGTCAATACTGTTTATTTATATTTTGACATTGCACAAAGTCGTGCGTTTCTCAGACTATTTATGACGCCATTACACTTAATTCGATGAAAGTATACAAGTGATACTTTAGTTTGGGAAAACATGATTTATTCATTATATAGTTGTAATTGGCTTTGAACTAAATTTCAGTAACTGCGACTACTCTTATTTCGGTGCTTTGTGTCTATTGCTTTTATGTTAGTTGGTATTGTGCCTCGTACCGATCTTTTGAGTTTTAAGCCAATTGCGACTGATTTTTACAGTTATGTTTGTGTTGTTACACCAAAGTTCCAGGTTAGGGGAGGGTTGAACACTCACACACATGTTTAACCCCGCCACATTCTTTATATGCCTGTCCCTAGTCAGAAGCTTGTAGTTCAGTGGTTGTCGTTGGTTCATGTCTGTCATAATTGTTTTGTTATAAATTAAGAGGTTCGTTTTCTCGTTTGAATTGTTGTACATTATCATGTCGGGGCCTATTATATATTATTATACGGTATAGGTTGTTCTCATTGTTGAAGGCCGTACAGTGGTCTATAATTGCTTACTATCACTTCATTTTAACTCTGGTTGATAGTTGTCTTATTGACAATCATGCCATAACTCCTCATTTTCATATAGAAATTTTCTATGAAAAAGAAGTAGCAAATTTATATTATCTTTTATCAAATACACATAGAATAATGTCATTTCAGGAAAAAAAATGTTTAAAATTTAAAATATTTTCCCCAATTAACTGTTATATTTTACCTTTTTAGCTTCATCCTTTTCAAAAATGTACTTTCGAAGTTCTGGTCTAACATCACAATGAATAGTATCTATGATAATATCACACATTGTATTTTCCATATTAGTCTTCCCATATAAACCTGAAATAAGTCGATAGTGTAAAATCAATAAATAATCAGATCGGATCTGTTTGGTTTGTTTGTTTCTTAGGTATTAGCATGGTAAGTTTTATTTTGTTTTGCATTGTATAATTTGCTAATTTTCAAAGAATTTTAAAATTGGATCTGCCTTTTATTTTTTTTTTTACCAAATGACATTTGATTATGACCCAAGCAAAAAACACTTCGGTATGAAAACATATACGGTTGGACCAAAAAAGAATTCTGCGAGTACACTCAGATCTGTACTTAGTGTCTTTTCGTTGTGGGGATGTATAAGTACCCTGCCAAGTCCACTCTATGTTTTGTTAGATGTATTTCTGCTTTGTATCCGTCTGATGAGTTAAGCCCTTTTCAAATGATTTTTATAATGTGTTCTTATGTTGTACTGTAACGCCACTGTCCCAGGTTAGGGGAGGGTTGGCGCCTTCAAACTAGTTTAACCCCACCACATTCTGTATGTGCCTATCCCAAGCCAGGAGCCTGTAATTCAGTGGTTGTCGTTTGTTGCTGGATATCATATTTGTTTTTCGTTCATTATTTTTTACAAAAATCAGGCCGTTAGTTTTCTAGTTTGAATTGTTTTACATTTGTCATTTCGGGGCCTTTTATATCTGACTATGCGGTATGGGTTTTACTCATTGTTGAAGGACGTACGGTGACCTATAGTTGTTAATTTCTGTGTCGTTTGGTCTCTTGTAGAGAGTTGTCTCATTGACAATCACATCTTCTTATTTTATATCTACAGTTGAATCAACGTTATAAATATATGTTATTCCATTTTAAATTATCTTTTTGATTTCATACCTCTTCTCTTCGCAATATAAGTGCATTTGTCACATGCTTGCCAAAGGGGATTGAAGCAAGAAGGAGTGTGGTTTTAAAAATGTTTAATGACAAATACTCCGATCCAGTCAAAAGTCCTAAAACAGTGTACAAAATGTATATGTCTTGTTTTTATTCACTAGCGCTGGGTCGAAAAAAAGTGTTGACTGCTAGTCCCCGAGGGTAGCATAAGCTGCGTAGTCCGTGCTGCTTCTGTACTGACATGATTTGTAACATTTTTTTTCTGAAATCCCTCGTTGACAAATTAAGGAATAATTTTAAAAGGTTAAGGCTCAAACTCCCACAATTAAAGTTCACCATATATGAATTTTATTTCTTTTGGACCCCTCGAAGAGTTGTTTGAACAAGCAAGAGTTTTTAAACGAACAGAGAGCATGGTACTCACTCTACACGGAAAAGCATATTAAAAAAATTATTAGGTTTGTTCGAACGTGTATGGCGGGTTATCGCAAAACAAGATGTCTGCCCTATCCAACATACCCTCTTTTTAATCTTGTCTGGAATTTGTATGGAATATTTGCGACTAAAATTAAAGCAAAACACTATTAAAAAGTAAAATAACAAAAATACCAAACTCCAAGGAAAATTCAAAACGGAAAGTCCCTTATCAAACGGCAAAAACTCAAACACATCAAATGAATGGAAAACAACTTTCATATTCCTGACTTGGTACAGGCATTTCCTTATGTAGAAAATGGTGGATTAAAATTGGTTTTATAGGTAGCTAAACATCTCACTTGCATGAAAGTAGCATAAAATTCCATTATATTGACAACAATGTGTGAACAAAACAAACCGACATATTAGGTAAAAATATCAAAAATTGGGATACAGCATGCAGTCAACATTGTGTTATAATCTTAATCACTATAAAAGCAAACAACTATTTCAACAAAGAAAAACAAAATGGCAAAGCACATAAGCAAAAATGAAAGACAAAAATACAAAAAAATATGACCAAAGCACAATAACACAATGCCGGGCTGTAAAAATACCGAGCCACGCCAAGAGGATATTACCAAAAATAGACTAATCAGTAAAGGTTAATAATCTACAAACTGTTATTCAGTGGTTGTCGTTTGTTGCTGTATATAATATTTTTTTTTCGTTCATTATTTTGTACATAAATCAGGCCGTTAGTTTTCTCGTTTGAATTGTTTTTCATTTGTCATTTCGGGGCCTTTTATAAATGACTATGCGGTATGGGCTTTGCTCATTGTTGAAGGCCGTACGATGACCTATAGTTGTTAATTTCTGTGTCATTTGGTCTCTTGTGGAGAGTTACATCTCATTGGCAATCATACCATATCTTCTTATTTTATAAAGACAAATAAAAGAACACTATAACACGTAACTAAGATGATAAACAACGTCAGTACCTAGAATCTATACTTCAAGACCATCATGTATTATTTGTGAAGTTGATACGGAATATTTATCAATAAGGTCTTGGTATCTTCCGATGAACTTCTCTAGAAAAAGGACGAGACGTTCTTTGACATAACCCTGGTTCATCAACTTTCTGCTCAGACACTGGTGACGTTTTATTAAGTCTGAGTAGCAGCTGCAAGCTCTTGAATACTGAATGAGTTGGGAAATGTATATCCTATATGCAGGTGAAGTTGGTATACTGCTGCTAAGGTGGAGGAAATTGATAATTTCAATATTAAAATCGTCTCGTTTGTCATAGATTCTGGTAATGAGATGACCGCTTATGTCAAATTCGAGATATAAGTCTAAAAATGAGGCGGATGATGCCTTGTCTGTTGTTTCTTTAATTTTTAGTTCTGGAGAATATTTTAATGGAGCCCAATCAGAAAAGTTTGGATTGTTAATGGAAAGAACATCATCAATACATCTGAGTGTGAAATTAAATGATCTGGCTCCTTGAAATCAAAGTCCATCATACCAAGAAAGTTATATAACCTCCTTGATCATACTAACAAAATATCTATTAAATTACTATCAATCAGTAATTAATCTTGAACTGTCGATATTTTGTATGTTAAGAAACTAGATACGTAAAACTTAAACTATAGTGGTCTCTATGGTAGGTCAGAATTTTTAAAGGGCCACGGCTCCAGAGATGAACATTCTTTGTATAAACCATCTCCGGATGGGAAAATTAACACAGATTCCACACGCAATTAGGGTTTAGCGTGTGAGTCTTTTGAGGAAGTTATTTGACACTATAAATGATATGATACAATAATATTTTGCATGTAATTTCATACAAAACTATCAATATATTTTGAGGTTTAGTCGGTGATTTGTTTAGTTATTTATATTACCAAATTCTCTGGCGAGATACCTCTCGATAGCTCTTGATTGAGGAATCAACTTCCCATTTACTGATAAAATCGGGACTTGTCCTAGTGGTGTAGCTAAAATGAAAAATGAATACGTCATGTTATGTGTAGTAATTAACATTTTCGATCGGATGCCCAAAATGCAAGAACATAGAATTTCATATCTTCACAAGATACGGAAATCCCTCAACTATTTGACGATGTTCAGATAAAAACATTAAGTGTGTTTAGCTTAAATTAAAAAATGTTTTAAAGAGCAATTCGTGAATGAGTGCATCCTCTAATTAGTTGTCGGCCTGGGACTATTATACTAATATAGTATAATAGTCCCAGTGTCGGCTGAGTTTAATTTTGCACTTTCTGATAGCTATAGTTTGTTCCAATTGTAATATTTATATTTTGTAAATATTGACCTCTGGTTAATTTGGATTTATAACTGTTTATTTGTGTACAGAGAAAATTAATGACGCAAGGCTAATTTGACAAATGGTTAGTTTTATTATCTGCAGTTAACAATGAACTGTCAGATGTAATTAAGACAAGTAACGATGTCTTGGGGTGTAGGGTAATACAATTTAGTTATGCCTATTTGTTTTGTCTAGAGTGAAAGTAATCAAGATATGGTATGATTGCCAATGAGATGTAACTCTCCACAAGAGACCAAATGACACAGAAATTTGAGCAAATTTCTGATAAAAAGGTCAGTTGGTCAAGATACTGGCAGATTGTGTATCAGCTGTGATAATGTAAGGATGTGATTTTCCTTGAAGTCTTGAATTAGTTAGATTGTGATGGACTTGTGTACTAGTATATGTTTTAACTTTGTAAGCTAACTTTGTCAATAAGAAAAATTGAAATATATCTCAGACAATACATACATCAAGTATATCTAACATATACTTTTAATCATAGAAATCCATAAAGGCATTTACAGGCAGTGATACAATTTACTTTATATATAAGTTGAAAGTTAAACTCTCGGAAAGAATTCAATAAATGAAAAAAAGATAATGTCCCGTAACTACAAGAATGCCGGTTCACTTGACAAAAAAGTTAACTATGTAGATGTTAATTTTCTAGGTTAATAGGTGTTATGATAAAACGAATTTGTAAATCAACAATTGTTATTAAAAACAATGTGCACAGTAAACGATATGTGTACGTTTCTTTACAAATGGAGACTGTATAATATGCAGTGTGTGGAGATGAGATGCTAATTTAAAAGTAGTAACACGGACATTTTAAGTACAATTACACATAAACATTACGCAAATAATCAAGGTAAATTATACATGTTAAATCTAAATCTTACTAGGTTTAATTGAAGGCCATTCTTCAAAGGTAATTCTGCAGTCTTCATATGCTTGATCAGCCGCAGCAAATAGCAGTCTTGACACTTCCCCGCGTGCTCGTATGTTAAAGTAGGTTAGTTTATATACTGCCATTTTGACGAGTCAGTCGCTAAAACATGTACTATCGCTTTTATCTATCATACATGTGTGACACTCAGTAGATGTTAAATGTTTACACATTTTCACCTGGTATAAACATCGTGTGCATGAGTATAGGTTATGATAAATCTTAATTTAAGAATTTAATGCATCTTTTTATAATTTTATTTGGGTGTGAAAGCTTTAACCGAGGCACTTTTTGTTTGAAGCGCGTGCAGTTATAGCTGTTGTATATTACGATATATATGTATGTTTTATTAGAATCTGATTGGCTTGACAACACTCGCAAGGCAATCCAATATCATATTTTATTTCCGTATAAATACAGCTATGACGTCTTACAAAATCATTTTGTCTCCTCCTGGACTCGAACCCGGTACTTCTGTGTTACAAGGCAGCGCTCTAACCGACTGAGCCAAAGAAGTACTTCCCTAGCTCAATCGCTTACGGCTGACTAAGAATTTACTAAAGAAGGGAAGCAATCCCGTCACAATATAATGGATCGAGCAAAGGTGTCTCGCTTGTATTCTAATCTGCCGTAAAGTTGGACAACGAATAATGATACTAGTACCTGGCGTTAGGCATGAAAGACAAAAAATAGGCTTCTTTTCATAAACTTTTGCGTATAATAATGACGAATACGTCTTTACTCCAGCGAGACAAAACGAAATCTCCATGCAGGAAATTGAATTTTTAGTCATTAAATAACAACGCAGCGTACTAGCTCACGATAAAGAAAACACTTAAAATGGTGTTTCAAGCAATTTACAAACAAATTAAACAAACATGATTAAATTTTGAAAGAACACATTACCAAATATGATAATAATCATAAAATTCTACTACAGGACCAAACGAAAAACAAACAGAACACAAACAAACGAAATTTCTATTTATTTTTAATTAAAACTATTAAAAATAAAATACATAAGCTAAAACGAAACAGAAATAGATAACAAAACAAATGAAAATCGAAATTGTGATTTATGGATATTTAATTCCACATTTATCAAACAAACATCTCTTTTGAAATGCATTTTGTCATTCATATAATTGATAACTGAATTATTAAACTAACTTCGTGAACAAATTATTCATAGGAAGTGCACATGAGAGACGATACGCGATTAAAAGTTTACCTGCAATGAAGACACAGACACATTGTTCATTTATTTTTCCTTCGTATTATGGGAATATGAAGATTTGTTCCGCCAAGCAGTCGTGCTTACCGCATTATATTATTTACTTTGCACCTCAACGAATTATTAACTTGAAAATATTCTCAGGGTCGGAAAGCATTTATCGTTACCTACCGCTGAGTTGGCATCAAACTTCTGCGGCCGTAATATACAATTCTCAATTTACAATTTCATCAAATATCATGGAAACATGGATAAAACCTTTTGAAAAGATGACAAAAAGTTACAGGAACAGTCTACCACTATGAGCCGCTTTGTACGCAAAACGAACTTAGTTTTGAGAAAAAAAAATCTGGTCAGTTTTCTTTGGACATTGAAAACTATCGTAAAACTGTTTTATAGATTTAGAACCTTTTCCGTGGATGGTATGTTAGACTCAGATCCGGTAACTTTTTCTAATCGACGTCTGAATTCTGATGTTACAATCTCAAATCGAAGTCCAAATCATTTATCCTCTTATAGACATACATTTTAAATGTATTATAAAAATAAGGAGATGTTGCCAATGAGGCAACTATCCACCAAAGTTCAAATGAAGTGGATGTGAGCAATCATAGGCAACCGTATGGCCTTCTACAATGAGAAAAACCCATACCGTATAGGCACATAAAGAATGTGGCGGGGTTAAACATGTTTGAAGGCGCCAATCCTCCCCTTACCTAACAGTACAACATAAGAACAAACTAAAAAATTCAGTTGAAAAGGGCTTAACTCATCAGATCGATACAAAGCAGAAAAACATTTAACAACTAGATGTGTCGGAACGATCGCTCGCAAAAAAAGCTTGAAGCATTTTAGGAGTCGAAATTTTCAAAGTCCGAAGCCCGCAATTTCGGCAAAAATCAGCGGACCCAAGCATAAACTCGATCTGTAACTCATCATAGTAGACTTACATGATAAAAGTCAGCTCAATATGTGAGAGCGTTAAGAAAAAAAAGTCTGTATAACTATATAACGCTATAAGTCAGCGGGGCAATAAAAACACAGACCGGGCACTCTAATTTGATACTCCTCTAATCGTCAACCAATATTATTTATTAATAAATATTTGTTTCCGGTTCTGTAGTAATCGTCTTCGTTTTATTCTGTTATATATATAGAACAAATGTAACAAATTAGGGGTTTTGCTTTAATACTAGCGCTTTCAAATGGATGGATATGGGATAAATGACAACGAAGCGACATCTTATATGGACAATGAAAATGTTCACACAGAAAGTGCTGATCAAATCTTTCTTTATTGTCCTAGTAATTCCATTCATGTTCAGTTTTGTTGCATTTTAAGGGGTTTCTCCTACTGTTACTGTATTAAGAATGATGATGATCTCAAATTGTGTTAATTCATGATTTTGTCAACTTTCAAGTTCGTTTTGCTGCGTGTCCGCCAAACACACGATATTCAGGAGTAAGAGCATAGATTGGATGACTCGGGTTATAATAATGTGTCTGTTTCTTTTTGTGGACTATTACAATGTGAGGTAGCACACATTTTGAACAAGTACATTTATCATTCGCAGTTTAATAGCGTTCCTCGATGGCGACCAAAGGCGATTGACCTCTAAATTTTCAGGTTCTAGCATAAGGTGCAAATGTTTTAGTGTAACACACTGATGCTGTATATTGGTGTATGCTTCTAGAGAGGTGGTAGTTAGAATGGCTCTTTCACTGCCGCTGGCTAGCTTAATTTGTAGGTAAAGAGAAAGAAGAGTGCGTAAGTTTTCCGGTCAGTAAATTGCCTCCGCACTATCAAAACATGGTAACTCGGACCTTGTGCACTATGCATAAATGTAGAGAATCTCGGAGTAGCAAGAACCTAAGAGATGAAGAGTGTGGACCAATCGGCTTGTGGATATGCCCTAGCGCTTATTAACCTTGTCCCAGCTACGTGTTAATAGCCGGATAGATGAAGGTCGTTAGCTTTGGGAGGTAATTCATCTAAGTGAAGAAAACTTTGATTTAAAATGTGAGTAGTTTGACTAGTCAGTCTTTGTCGGCAACTGAACTAAAGGAAAGAAACACAGAGCAAAAATTATCTGGCTTTCCAGGTTGGGTATTGAGCGACAGGCCAACAACATATCCTCATAAAAAACCAAAGTTACAGAAACGCGATCAGGAAGAATGACCTTTCCGATGGTAACAAACGAGGTTCAACCGGAAAATAAACCGCAGTTGGCAGGTTCAATGAATGATGTTAGCAAAACCCAGAACCAATTGGAAGCAAACACAAAAGAGAGTTTCCTTGATTTACCCAAGAAAACCAGAACAAACAGCAGGGGGTAACTGAAATGAACAAATATGGAATTTTGTAGGTGCAAAGGATGTGCGGTCTTGAAGATGGATATTCCTAAATTCCATTGAAATACCATTTTAAAGAAAGATACAGTGTATGAACTTCTTCAATGTCTTTTTTCTATACATAGACATGATGCAATTGCAAAATTTTACAAGCAATTTGGTAATACCTGAATTGTAAAATCTGATGATGTAAAGTCACCCCTGGCTCTGCGATTAATTTCACGAGATTATATGATTCAAAACCACTACTCCGAGATTATAACTTGAGCATTCGGTTGAAATCTATGTGTTTTGTACATTTCATTTTGCCCAAATACAGACGAATGCAAATATCGATGCATCAGTCAGAAGTATTTAATGGGCAAATGTTGTAACATGAAATAAAAAAGAAAAAGAAATTAAAAGATTAAAAGCAATGAAAATAGATAAAATAACATTCATTCTTTGAAGACAAGTTCAAATAAAAAACAAATATTCCTTTTCCATATATCAGAACCACATAAATAATTGTGAGTACCAAGAATAGGCGTCACGGAATGTTTTATATAAGCCAAAAGCAATTGAAAATATTGATTTGTATTAGAATATTTCTTTTATTTTATGTTAGACGTTTTGGGCGGCCAATTTTAAAAGTAATAAAACTTTTCGGAGAAAAGACAATGATAGTCATGTAGGTATTTGCTGTTGCCTTCGATTGAAAGCAGAAAGTAAAAATAGGGCTTTGTACCACAAATTATTTGATTGAGGAGGCAAACGTATTCAAAAGGAGGAATGTATAAATATTTCATACACATCATTACCAAAAATTAAATATGTTTATACTCAACATTTTTTCTAATTTGCGACTTAAGCCCAAGTGCTGTGTTAAAACTCTACGACTCATAGAGTATACAATGTCAACTATCTCACGATTCAAAAGTTTGAAAACTGCTGAAAATTTACAAAGTTGAACCGGGTTCAAAATGACTATCATTGGTGGCATCGCTTGTGAACCGACAACTGAATACAGACTATGTGAATACAGTAATGACGTAGTTAAGTTTATCTGTAAGAATCGGATTATCGAGAGATGCGGAGGCTTTCGCTTTCATTGGTCAGATTAGTTTGTTTTATCAGCGATAAATTCATGCCATCCTGAAAAATACTATTTTGTCAACGATCGATCATATGACACCAACCCTTAGTTATTGATAGCTTGTGTTTTGTCTGTCTACGTAATTTTTTAGTGTTTTATTTTAACAATTAGATGTTATTTTAAAATTGTTTAACTTTTTTGTTATATCATTCACTTATCTTCAGTTCTAGGTTATTCATTATGACTGTCTTGTTATTTTGACTTAAAACATGCAGAATAAATATAATGCCAATCACTAAATATGGTAAAATACATTGATAAAAGTACAAGAATTTTAAGTTGTACTCCTTAAAAACCATTTGGAGGACGTCGTTTCACAAGTTCCAACTACATTTTACTTATCAATTTGTACAAGTATTACCGCCATGTCACTGGGATTTAATAGCAAGATTTCCTTTATGATCTACTTTGATTAGAAGAAAAAGACCTTAAGTAGTTAAGAAATCTATTTGAACCACATA